AAACAGAGGTTGTTTTGTCTTTCAGGTGCTGATGCAGCAGTTGAAGACCCAGCATGTCTGTTAGATTCATCCTAGACAGCATGTCTTTTGTCCCGTCCTCCTTTTCTCACCCCAACCAGTCACGGCAGCCGCCCCTCCCTGAGCCTGGTTCTGCTGGAGCTTTCTTCCTGTTAAAAGGGAGTTTTTCCTTCCCACTGTCACCAAAGTGCTTGCTCATAGGGGGTCATGTATCATGTATGTATTATTGCAGGGTCTACCTTACAATATAAAGGGCCATGATTTGGCACTGTATAAATAAAATTGAATTGAATAGACCTTTGTGGCCCCCCCTTTTTCCTCTCTTTTTCTATTCCTCCACCACCTTCTCCTTACTTTAGCCAACCTGGCCTTCCCCCCATGTCAGCTCCAGCATAATACCCACTCTGATATTAATGCAAATAATAAAATAAACTAAATAAACAGAGAGTCTATAGTGCTCCTGTTGGCAAAGCAAATGTGTTTGGCACAACGAAGCATTCAGACCATGATTCTGCTTGCTAAAAATATCGGACTGGGAGGGTTTAAAAAAGGAAAACAATTTGCATTACCGTATTCGTATTGCACACAGTGCAGACTGCAGATTTTAAAGCTGTATTGTAGCATAATCGCATCTGGAAGGGCGCGATTGAGTCTTTAAGTCTTTCAAATGAGATGTAAGTGAGCTGAGACTAATGCACGTCCACCAGGCCGTTGCTATGTGCTTTATCTTTCCTGCGCTGATCTCTACCTGCTGGAACACTTTCACCTGCTCCACTGCCTCCAGGCTTTATTCCACACCCACCAAATCTGTCACTTTCAGCCTTTGCATGCTGTGCCAGTCGTTCTATTTTTGCTCCGACAAACTATATGACATGTAGTAACTGATGGGGGTGATTCTTGACCTTTGTGGTTCATAACAAGGCAGGCTCTGACAGGCATCTTTCACCAAGTTGACTAGATAATGTAAATAAATACCAGTCAACAGAAGAACGGTCACGTCTGAATACCAGCAGAGGGCACGGGAACTTTTCGATGGGCATAAAAATTCAAGCCCTCTGCATGGGAGAAATTAGAAGCCACACTTTGTGAGAACAAATAGCGGGTTTTCATTCAACACTCGTCTCTGGAGTTGACACACTTTAAAGTCCCTCTGAGATGTGACAGTTACGGACCACAACAGTGTGACGATACCAGGATGTGGCATCACCTCTTTTTCAAAAATGACTATAGACTTTAACACATGGCTTGATGAGTAATGTTGACAATCTCACTTAGGGCTATAAAACACTTTTTTACCTAACATAAATGAGTGTTATGCGGTCAGGATCAAACTTCAGCAACCTTCCACTCAAACTGGAAGGGATTTTTTCTGCCTCACCTATCTTCTCACCCCCTAAAAATGTTTTGACTCTTGGGTAATCCCCCTCTTTTTCTCACTAAATAGCAATGATGGCATGCGTAGGTGGCCTGTCATCTGTTGGGAGTGATAAGACAATGGCAGAGCTATCGAGCTACAAATGCTACATAAGGTTAATAAGGTTTTTACATTCAGGAATGGTGTGAACTTATAGAACTGCCATTGTCATATTGAAAATTGTAAAATCACTTGACGCTCAGAGTAATAAAAGACAGTTTTTAATCCCAGGATCTGCAAGTAGTTTTCATGAGATAAAGGGTTAAAGTTAAACTCAAGCAGGGGCACCTGGGGAAAATGACTGACCGTCATCAGCTTTTGATGATGGGAGGATGAAAGAGGGCCCCAGTTTGACCATTTCTCTAACTCCTTGTTAATTCACCAGCTCACAGCCCTGTTGCTGTTTACTGTGGAGGAAAATCCTGCAAGTTCCATCCAAAAAACACAAATTCCATTGCTAGCCTTTTTTCTTCGTTTCATTTTTTCCATTGAAGCACGCACATGTGCAAACACACACAGCTCCTTCCCTTTTCCTGCGAACTACCCTCCACCCTCCTGCTATCTTACAGGGATCAGGCTGGATCTCTGGAGGACAGCAGCTGCAAATAGGAATTTCTTGTGCCAGATTGGCAGAATCCCGTGGTCGGAAAAAACCTAAACCTCTGGTGGGCTCCCCGACAGAATCGAGGGGCATAGGGCCAAGGAGAAATCCTGGCCAACTATAACAAACAAAAAGGCTTTCCCCAGTTCTCCCAGGCAGCCCGTTCCACTGTTTGACAATGGTTGCCATGGAAGTTGTTTTTCACTTCATAACAGTGTCAACATGTCCAGGCGGTCAGCACAGTGACACTTTTTTCTCCCTCTCGCCCTGTCTTTAATGCATGAAAAAGCTCATTTCCTGATGTTTGCCAGAGCCAGATGAACCCCTACGACCAGCAGAATGAGCATTTTTGAATGGATTGACGAGCAAAGACTAACTTTAAAAAACATCCGGCTGACAAAAACCAAAGGTAAGAAAAATATTGCACCGTGTTCAGAGCTGCTCGTTTTATTTTAAAAGACAGCACGGTTTGGAGAAATTCTAAGGAAGAGGTATAACCTCGTGCCTGCTGCTGGATGTGGCCTGACATTAATTTTGTCAGAGGGTAGTGGGGTTGACAAGCACAAGTATAAACATATGACTCACAATCCCTGTTATTTCCACCTTGCATGGAACATAACTGCACCTCCCGGCAAGGATTGTTTTAACAGTGCGAGTTTGTTCTGCTGGCTTTGTTCAGAGCAATACTATAGCACACAGACTGGACCAGGATATGTGAAAAGGAGATACTGTAAATATCCTTGAATTGTTCTTGGGAAAAGTCATATCTTTGTTAGTGGGTCTTATCAAATCGGAACTGCACCTATCGATCACGTTGTCTGGCCCTGAATCTGGAGACTCAGACACAAGCTGCAATTGACCACTCACACTGAGTATAAAAGCATTAACTTACACTCACCATCATCTAGGTAGGCCTGGTCCAAATTCTCTTCCTTGACAGTCACTCGTCTCTGTCCGTCTCCCGAAGCGTCCACCTGCCCCGTCCCAGCTGGAGTTCTGCCTTTCTGCTGCTGAATCACGGTGGGGTAGTGCTGCGGGTGGGTTACTGCGACCTGGGGGGGTGTGGGCGAATGGGTGGCAGCTGCCTGTGGGGAATAGCTATCGCAGTATATGATCGGCTGGTTGTCAGGTTGAGGCCCAGTAAGGGGTTGAGGTTCACCTGCTCGGATCAGGTGGTGGTTGGTGGGAGAGAACTGGATGATAGAGGGGTGTTGACCTGCATTGATTGGCCCCACAGACTGAGCCGGGGAGCCCGTGTGGACCAGGACAGATCTGTGGGGGTCAGGCATCATCCCTCCGGTCTGCCACATAGCAGGGCTGCCACTCAGACTCTTGCCTCCACGTGAGTACACGATGGCCGGGCTCTGCTGCTGGAAACGTGCATCCTGGTTTGGAAGGCTGGAGCTGAGGCGCTGGCAGGGAGCCATGCCAGAGACCAG